TTATAGTGACCCAAAATTCACTAAGACTTACATTTTCCAAATAATTTGTGTACTGATCAGTAAGCTCTTGGTGAAGATGACTTGTAAAACGAAATTATCAAATCCACTTGAAAGCTCTATCTGCACTATCGGCACTTACAACTCAACACGACCCAACCCCAGCACTATTATCTTGACCACAAATCTGTTATTCTTCCTAACATTTCTATGGGATTTACCAAATTAACAGCCATACTTCTTCCAAATTAAATTGCCAGGATAACGTTCACTGTTCTCAGGTGCTTCCTCTAGTAAGGTCCTAACTGTTCTCACTGCTTCCTCTTTGTTCCATTCAATCTATTTTCAAAACAGTAGCCAGAGACATGCTGTTAACAAACAAGTCAGACCATAACACTTATCTGATCAAATTTCTCCAATGTATCTTATGTGCCATGAAGTAAAACCCAAAGCCTTTACATTTCACTGGCCTTACCCAGGAGGTGCACTGCAGTACCTCTCTGACCTTGCCACCCACTCACTCAATTCCCCAAGCCCCACTGGCCCTGACATTCTTCCAACATGCTGCTTCTGTCTCAAGGCATTTGTTCTTGCCATTCCTTCAAACAAGAAAGACTATTTCCAAAATATCCCAGGGGACTCTCTCACCTCCTTCGTGTCTTTACTCAAACATCATCTTCAGAATGAGGCATTTTCCGATCACTTTACATAAAATTGCACATCCCCCCGCCACTGAAATCTCACACTTCGTATTCTCTCTTCATTGCTTCATGTTTTTCTGTAGCATTTATTTTTTTTAATGTATTATAAGTTGTATTTGTGGGTTTAGTTACTTATCTTTCTCTCTTCCTCATTATATATAAGGTCTTTAAAAGCAGGGATTTTTGCACAGTTTTGTTCACTATTTTATCTCCATTACTTGCCAATCAATGGATATTGGTTAAATGAATACCTTTTCTGTGTACAAATATTAGTGCTCTAATGACCCCTGTGGTTTTTCTCACATCAATCCCACCCATCACTAATGTCACAGCTCAGAATAAAATTATATTTTTTTGGAATTATTGTCTTCCTTACAATGTCTCTCACTAATCTAATACATCACACATTCTCCTGCAAGAATAATCTTTATGTTCGATTACATTCAATTCAATTGTTTAATAAATGAAGCCCCAAATCTGTAACATGGCATTCAAGATACTTTTAATTTGATCCCTAGATGTCACATTTAAGCCATTTGTGACTACGTATCTCAATTTCTCACCTCTATTCCTTTGTTCACATGCAGTGTCTTCTACCTGCAACCATTCTCACTCTACTCCCTGTTTACTAAACCCTACCCTTCCATCAAGCCACAGCCCAACTACTATATTCTTAGTGAATTATTCTCCCAGTCAAAAATAATCTTCTCAAAAGATTCAGCCTTAGCATGACTCGATATGCTTGTCATAGCTTTTCTATTAGTTTTCAAGCACTTTACCTGAAGCATCAAAATAAATCTTCATCTTGGGCAAACATTATGTTTGCTTTATAATTATTTATATGTTCCATATTTGAATTCTTCTTCATTTTAACAAAACTGTTTTATATGTTTATCAACTGTATTGATCAAACTAAAACATGATATTTCTATGAAGAGAGCTCTATAATATATATTTGAGAATCCTATTAAAGTAGACATTGATCCATTATTGAACAATCCTGGAACTTCATTTGTCAATAATGCCATTGTGAATGACTGCCAAATGTCTTGCTCAAATTAACATCAACTACAGCATTTCTCCAGTATTTCCTTCAGAAGGAAAATAATCCATGCCTTGACATGGATTTTAGTGCAATTATTACCCCAATACTCATTGATTCTTTCATTCCAACTGAACTTATACAACCCACTTATTTAGTACTCTGTACTACTCTTTTACAAATATTAATATTTTACAAATATTAGATTTCAAGCAAATTTCACTGTAGATTTCATTTTTAAAAGGTAATCTGTACAAAGTTTTTCTATTTCCAGACTTCAGACACATAATATAAACTACCTATCCCTTATATAAGATGTGGACAGTATTTCCACTTTTCTTCTGGTTTCTTACATCTTACAGAAATTTAGTATTAAATAAATCAATAGGTTTAGTATTTTTTAATAGCTTATCTTGCCAGATCTTGTTTCAGAAATCCATATACACCCTATCATTATACCATATACAAATTCAAATCCAGGTTGATAAAATACTAATATCAAAATCAAACACTTAAAAACATTTAAAAGAATATACTATCTATGATGATAGGGTACATATGGATTTCCTAAACAAGACTGAGAAAAACACATTATGAATAAAAAATTTAAAATGAATTATTCATTTAGACAATTCATGTATTAGTTTTTTATTAATAATATATATTTATCTATTTTAGCATTGAAGCTTCTCATCTATGCAAATAGTAATTTATTTAAATATTAGTTTTGGACCTTTAATAAAGTTTTGTGATTATTTTCTACAATTTTTGCAGGACATTTTTCCTAGGCCCCTATGCTTTTTAACAATATTATTAAATGTAATTTTCTTTCAATTATAATTTTCAATTGTTTCTTGTTGGTAGATAGAATTACCATTGGCTTTTGTAAACTGATTGTGTTCAGTGATAGGCTGAATTCTATTATTGATTTGGATAGCTTATTGCTCATCTTGGATTTTCTATACAGATGATGATATGTATAAATAACAATTGTATTTCCTATCCATTCTTAAATGTTTTCCGTCTGCAGAATGAGGGCATCAAACACATTGCTGAAGAAAGTAGCGGTAGTGGGCATCTTGTCACATCTTTCAATTCATCTAAACTTTCACAACGAAATGTATTTTGAATATATCCTTTGCTGTTTTAAGGACATTGTGTTCTATTTTTACTTTGCCAACAGTTTTTACCATGAGTAGGTGTTAAAATTTATCAAAGGATTTTTCTGCATCTATTGAGATGATCATATTTCTCCTTTAATCAGCTAAGGTGATGAATTATATAAAAAGATTTTATGTTAAAATATCCTTCAATCCGTGGGATAAATCCAAACAGGTCATGCTGCATTAGTTTTTGCACATCATTGTGCTTAGGCTTCTGTTTTCTTTGGGACTATGATGTCTTTGTTCAAATATAAAAATGGCTTGATTTGTCCTTTTAATACTACCCTTGTGCAGATTAGGTGTTAAGGTTATATTAGCTTTATAAGTTAGGGAGAATCTCTCTTTTTCTAATCAATGGAGGAATTTGCATAAAATAGAGATTTTCTGTGTCTTGAGGACTTTAATACTTCCCTAGAACATTAATTTCCAGACTCCCGGCTATCTGTTTTACGCTATGTTTTCAAATCTTAAATATTTCCACCTCCCAACACTCTCAGCATGTTACTTTGCTTCTTATTATATTGTGAGAATGAAAGAAATAAAAAAGAATGGCCACAAAGCTCGCCATCATTTGTACCCACATACTTGCATATGTACCCACCATTTCTAAAAGGGGAGTGGTCAAACATTGCTGACAAACACATGATCATTTTTAAATCACTACTTTTCAAAAAACGTACAAAGTATGTTGTCTCTGTGTAATGGGACTATAAGGAATTGGTAGTTTTCACTACATTTTATAAAATTTCCAAAGCAATGAAATTAGATATTTCGGTTTCAGATATTTATCTATTTTTGTGTAACTTATGATTACTTTTGAGTATCTAACTAGCTTTCTTTTTATGTAGAAGAAGAACAATCAATGTTTCTTTCTTTTTATTGAAAGAAAGAACAATTTTCTTTCTTTCCGAGGAAGGAAATTAAAAAATGAAATGAGAAAAGCAGTTTAGAGCTTTGTACACTTCACAAAGAGACTACGTCAGAGAAGTGCTGATTATGTGACTTTTGCTCTATGCTATTTATGGCACTTTATCCTTTTGTGACATACTAATCCTTCTTAATTATATTGCAATTAGCTTTGCATGTAGCCACCTGTCAGGGAGATAATCTTGACTGAGCTATATAATGATACAAAATACCAGTATTAGATATTTTCTTAAAAATGCTAGATTTGAGAAAGAGAAACTATGTTTTTTAACAATGCATTATGGAATTTTATCTTCACTAGATGATATTTTAGATCACTAAATATCACTAAGTCTTAAAAACAGCAGTTTATTAAAATATTGGCACCGACATTTACTAAGTTCAAAGTGCCTCATAGAATATTAGATATTAAAATATATCAATAACTACATGTTTGAATTTAAACTTATTCAAATTGATATAATACTTCACAATGAAGTTTCCTTCTACAAATTTATCCATATGAGAAGAGTTCTTTTCCTTAGACTTTCTAAAGATGGATTTTTATTTGAGTTAGACAAAGTTCTTTGTATTTATCTTGATGCATATATTTTAAGTTTAAAAAAAAGTTGAGGTGACCAAGTTTTTATGGTTTACCTCCACTTTTTTTCATTCCATTTACTATATCTCGGTATTCTAATGTACAGTTCAACAATTATTTGAAAGTCAGAAGGTAACAGAGTCTGTATCCCGCATACAAATCCAGAGATTCTTTTTTTTCCTAGAACGCAGTTGTTTGGTTAATTGATTCCTTTCTTTTTTATCCTCTCCTTCAATGTTTCCTTTCTTCCTTTTGTTGTTTTGTTCCTTCCCCATTTTATTTGTTAAACATTGTGATGGGTATCTTTATGTTAGGCTGGGTTTTAAAGAACTAGGCAAATAAGAAGGCCACGGTTGGTAAAATCTGAGAACATTAATAGCAATTCATTCCTCATCACTTATCAGATGTTTCACCTTAAGAAAGTTGTAGGATAATTCTAATTATTATTTTCTTATGCAAAAATGGTTTTGAGACTTCATGCCTTTCACAACATAGAGGGTCAAATGCAATCATGTCTGTAAAAGCACAAAGCACCAATACTGGCATATAGAGGTTGATTAATCAAAAGTTAATTTCATTTTCTTCCTTAGAGTGTTTGATTAATGAAGAAATAATGACATCAAGTGTGCAATATTATAAAGCTGTGGTACAAACAAGATACTGAAGAAACACTGAAGAAAGAATGAATGCCTAAATTTTTCTGCAAAAATGGATTATAATATTTGGCTGAATCCTAAAAGATAAAAAGGACTTTGTCACATGTAGAGAGGCTGAGCAGGTATTCTGGGTTCAGAAAGCAGCATGTGCAAATTTATGAAGGATAAAACTCTACTGACTGTATGGAGATCATCCATTGGCCGAAAGGTCATACATTGGAGAAACAGAGAGAGATGATGCAGGAAAATAGTCTATGAAGAACCGTAAGTGCCCTGCTAAAACATTTAGTTCTGCATATATCTGGGATTTCCAACCAGTGTGGATAAATGCCTTCAGCCATCAAGGCTTTTGGGCAGGGTCTGGGGCAGCCCTTGGGGTCAACCACTTCTAGCAATAAATATAGGCATGAAGATCTCAGTGTGCTGAACAGATATATTTCTTTGTATGACAATATATTCAAAAGCCTGGGAAACATCTCTATAGATCTTAAAATAAATATTTTGGTTTTCATACTTGCTAAATTTTAGATGCTTCCTATCTTGACTGGTATTAGAAAAGGCAACGATCATTGAGGAGTTAGACAAGCAAAAGCCCTAACTAAAGATTACGCAGGTCACGCAGGGTGGGAGGGTAGAAGTGAAGTGACCCAGCTGTGGAGCCTGCTTTGAAAAGGTCCACAACACTGCAGCTTCTGCAGTTTGCTACAAGACCAGTTAGAGTTCTCTCAGTATTTCCTGAAGAGCATCAGCATAGAAAATGCAGTTATTCTTGGCAAGGTCTTCCCGGGTTCCTGATACATGAAGTGACCCACTGATGTTTTCCAAGTGTCCATTATTTTCCTGCTCAGAGGATTAAGGTATCTTTCTGGGACACGTGGCCTTATAAAGTTCCAGGAGAGAATGGGTAGCTCAGGTTTGGATACACACAGCTGACTACCTGTCCCTACCAAGGGAGAGTTGGCCTGTGTGTAGAGCTACCACTGAGACATTACATCTTCTGTCTGGTCCTACATTAGGATTGAGGCCTTGGCTATCTTTCCTTTGGTTCACGAAATACAGAAGGGAAGACCACTGGGTCAATTCCACATATTTAGGGATTTCAAAAACAAAGCATAAAAGTTCAGACTTTCTTTCCTGGGGGAAAAAAAGAATGATAGGATTAAACAAAAGAGATAAAATACAAGATCAGAGAATTACTTATATGCGTCAGTGGTTTGCAGTAAAAGAGTTGCTTCACTTTGCCACTGTGTTATTAAAGCTACCTTTCTGCTACCCAGTCTGCTCTAAGGGCTCACCTGCTGCGATCAAGCTGGCAGGGAGCTACAGTGCTAGGCCAAGTCACCACAACAGGCTCTAGACTGCCTGCTGCAGAGAATGTGAGTGGTTAGGTGGTGGTCACGATTTTATTTTGAACGGTTTATACATGGGGCAGTATGTCTGATCTTCTTCCTCCAATATGGATGGCACTGTGTATGCTTTTCTACTCACAGCCTAGTGAGAGATTTAAGAAGTCCACAGTCCCTCCTGCTGAGTACCCTTGCCTGCTGGAAAGCAGGGGATACTCTAATGGTTGGAACCACAGCTAGATCTACAGGGAGGCAAGCACCTAGCATTGATTTCAAGTCCTAAGAGAGTTCTGAGACATGGAGATGTGTAACAAATATTAGCGATAGGCACAATCCTCTTCAATGGTGACAGTTAGGTGCTCAAAATTTCAATAATTTGGGCTGAGATAAGAACCACACTATATTAGGGCATTTTTGCATTGCTAGAAAGAAATACCTGAGACTGGGTAATTTATAAAGAAAATAAATTTAATTGGCTAACAGTTCTGCAGGCTGTACAAGAAGCATGATTCTGGGCATCTGCTCAGCTTCTGATGAGGCCTCTGGAAGCTTAAAATCATGGCAGAAGGTGCAGGGGAAGCAGGCACATAACATAGCAAAAGCAGGAGAAAGGGAGAGAGCACAAGTGGGAGAGGGTGCCACCTACTTTTAAAGGACCAAACCTCATGAGCACTATCATGAAGACACATTAAGCCATTAATAAGGGATCCACCCCCATGACCCAATCACCTCCTACCAGGCCCCAGTTCTAGCACTGAGGATTACAGTTCAACATAAGATTTGGGCGGAGACAAATATGCAAACTTTATCACACACTACTTCAGGAATGGGATCCAGATCTTTGCTATTATACCTTGGATAACTATGACATATCTCTAGGACCAGGGCCACTAAGGTTTGTCTCACTAAGGTATCAGATACTGACATGGTTTGGATTTGTGTCCCTACCCAAATCTTAAGTTGAATTGTAATTTGTAGTGTTGGAGGAGGGGCCTAAGGGGAGGTGATTAGATCATTCAGGAGGATTTTCCCTTGCTGTTCTCATGATAGTGAGTGAGTTCTCAGGAGACCCGGTTGTTTAAAAGTGTGTAGCTCTTTCCCTTCACTCTCTCTCCCTTTTTATCTGGCCACATAAGACATGCCTGCTTCCCCTTCACCTTCTGCCATGATTGTAAGTTTCCTAAGGCCTCCTAGCTATACTTCCTGAGGAACTGTAAGTAAATTACCCTCTTTTCTTTATAAATTACCCAGTCTCAGGTAGTCTTTTAATAGTGATGTGAGAACGGACTACAAGTTGGTATAGGTACCAACTCAGTAATTAAAAAGGCAAACATCGGCCAGGCGCGGTGGCTCACACCTGTAATCCCAGTACTTTGGGAGGCCGAGGTGGGCAGATCACGAGGTCAGGAGATTGAGACCATCCTGGCTAACACGGTGAAACTCCGTCTCTACTAAAAATACACACACACACACACAAAAAAAAACTAGCCAGGCATGGTGGTGGGTGCCTGTAGTCCCAGCTACTCAGGAGGCTGAGGCAGGAGAATGGCATGAACCCAGGAGGCGGAGCTTGCAGTGAGCAAAGATCCCACCACTGCACTCCAGCCTGGGCAACAGAGTCAGACTCCGTCAAAAAAAAAAAAAAAAAAAAAGGCAAACATCTGGATTGAAATACAGTCAAACATAAATATGTGGATTTTGAAGCCGGCAGTCACAGAAAGGACACCTTTTTATAGGAGGTTTATATCTGAGCCATAACAGGGCAAAATTCTCCTAAATGACGCAATTCACCTTACAGCATTGTAAGAGAGCAGTCAGTGCTTCCAGGAATAATGTCCAATAGACTCAAAATTTTCAGTTCCATCTATACACTCCAGGCTTTAAATCAGAAGGACAAGGACTGCCAAAACCAGGAAAGATATCTGATTTCAAGTGATAAATGAATAGTCAAGTGGCAATTACATACAAATAGGGGATAAATGCTCTAAAAGAAGATGTGTCTGTAATGCTGTGAGAATGCACAGGAAGACTGAGAAAACTGACCCCACCGAGTGGGAATAATTGATTTCATTGTTTTTGACTAGGACTCTTAGTACAGAGGAAAGAAAACAAAAGAAAAACAAAAACTACAAACAGTATGCTAATTCATCTCAAACTCGTATAAACAAGCAAAAATAGAAATAAGTACCAAGGGAGAAAGAAAATAAACGAAAAATTGTCTGGATAAGGGTAAAGATTATTATAATTTTTGAGTAAATAGGTCCTTTGGTGTTACATTCCTTGTAAAAGTGTCGGTATTAAATTTAAACATCAGAATTAACAATATTTTCACCACTGATATGTAAAATTTTGAATCTATGGGTATACATAGTAAGAGAAGAGGGCAAATGGTTAATTTCCTCACTCTGTGGTAAACAACTGCATCATTGCTTTGCTGTTGCAGATTACGAAACAAATTATCTCTTAAGAATTTGACATAGCCAAAGAATAAAACTATTTTATTTCAGGAATCATCTCTAGGGAAAATATGAACGCTTGGATCGTTATAGCTATGTTAAAATCAATTTGGATCGATCAGAGAAAGAGAGTTGAAATAATAATACACAAAACACTCCAAGGAATTTCAGTTCCCACAACATGAAGAATTCATAATAAGCTTTTCTATCCTTAAGAGCAAAGGCCATGATAAATTGAAAATGGCTTGCACACCTTAATAAAGATCTATTATCTTTTGTTTCTTACTTTAAAAACCCATTTTGATATGAAATCTCTGATACAAGGAAGTTGTTTTATGTTATGAAACATGATCTATATTTAGGATAAATCCATTTTATAATACTAACTCTTTTATGCTGAATATATTTCAGTGTCTCTCCATACTTGAGACTTAAGACACACAGGGAAAGTATCTAAAATTAATTTAAAATAAAGGCATTAAGAGTTAAGAATGCTTAAATCCAGGATTCCAAGTGGACATCAAGAATTGAGTGCTGATAAATATATGTATTTGTAATAAATAGCAAAATTATCATTATTATAATTAATCATAATAATTATCATTATTATATCATATGATTTATAATTATTATTATAATTAGCAGGTATGGTTCTCACTCATTTTAACTACGATTCTTCTTACTGGAGTCAATAGTGTGTTTCAAACAACAGGATGATAGGTCCAGTTTTAAGTTGTTCAGTTGTTATTATCAGTTCTGAGTCATGTTTCTCCTTCATTATCTTCTGCACTTTTATTGAACTTAGTAGTATAAAGGTTACGAGGGCTCACTCTGAGACTACAATTTGCTCAGTGTCCAATTATATTACAAGGACTTACTGCCTAACAACTTACTTCAAAGTGTCCCCTTGCTGCAACAAAACATCAGGATGAAAAGCTGTAAACTTGTAGCAAACAATTGTCAGTTTTCAAACTCTTTACTGCCGAATACATGTAAATTTTACAAAAACACTCATTGAAAAACCTTCTTACTTCTCCAGATATTTGAAATTGCAAGCTAAACGTAAAATGCCCCAAATTAAGAGATTTTAAAAATCAAACAAAACTCATATGCCCATAATATTCCACTTTCTCCCAATTAAAAAAAAAGTTCCATGACTCTCATAATCTATTCCAACTAATTATATCTCTTCTGCATAATTTTTCTATGGATGCTAATTTACTTCTTCATTTCTCATTCATTCTTTAATCTACTCCAACAGGCTTGTGTCTACCACTCTCAAAATTGTATTTTAAAGTCATCTGAATTCTATAAATTGCAATTCCGATGAACCACTCTCAAACTTCATTTTAACTCATGTTTTTGAAGCATTCTATGTAGTTAAACACGTTTAAACTGTTTTTCTCCCTTCGTACTTCCTACATTATCATTTTCTCTCCTTTACTAACTCCTTCTTTCTAGTCGTCTTCTTCCTGAATGCTTATGGTTTGCCAACTTATTTGCTGAGTCTTAGGCCTTCTTGTTTTCCTGCCCTCCCTAACTGAGCACATCCATTGCCATAGTTTATCTATGTTGTTGATAATAAGATAAACATTTCCAGCCCATTTAGGC